CCCACCCCTGGTGCTGGTGTGCCTGGAGCATCTGCAGGCCTTGCCATACCCCATGGCCCTGATATGGATGATGCATGGTCAGTTGGTCTTGTGGCTCCAACGGAATCCAGCCTGCATTCCACAAAGGGTCTTCATCATGCTGAGTCAGCCTCTCTGCCCATTCAGGAGGCATGGGTTTGTGGCCTTTGCCTTTGTGCCACTTGCACAGCCAGACTATGTGTTTGGGAGTTGCTGGAACTGCACAGACTGGACACTGTTTGGGTTTGCCATTCTCTCGGTAGTGGATGGCTCCTTGGACCCAGGTGCGGAGGAAGGTTCTATGCTCTTTGGGCAGTTTGTTGATGAGCTGACGGAATACGTGCCAGTCCAGTCTTGCCACCAAGTGCTGGTGGTACTGCCTCTGGGCCAATCTGGATGTTCGCTGGCTGGTGGCTTCCTTCAAGAGCTTCTTCTCAATTTGCCACCATGGCTGCCGGATGCTGAGGTCATTCGCTGCCATGTAGGCCGTTTCTGGTCTTGTCCAATGGTGCAAAGTGGGTGCTTGCCATTGCCACTCAAGGAGGTAGGCAATGGTAGCTGCCATTGGGCCTTTGACTGTGTACCAAGGATGTGATTTGGTGCTCAGTTGCTGGTAGATGCAAGTCCATGCCTGCTCAAGATGCTCAAGCTGGTCGGTTGGCCAAGCATGGTAAAGCGTGTGGAGGGCTTTGATGTGGTGGATAATGACCTGGTCTGCCGGATCAAGGTACTTGTTGCTGTGGAGGTCAAAGGTGGCATCTAGTGTTCCTCCATGATGGTGGCCGAGCTGTTTTGCCAGTGCAGTTCTTAGCGCAAGTCTGTATCTGGGGGCAAGGCCTTGTGCTTCGATGCCCCATAATGCAACTGGCTGGATGCCTCCTTTATGCAACCTGAGTCTGACTCGCAAAGAGGGGAGCTTGAGGCTGCGGAGCTTGAGCTTTCGTTGATGCCCCTATGTGCAGGGCGCATGTGTCAACCAACCTTTTGAGCATGCACACAGTGGACACTCCACCCATCTCCTTTGGCAAAGAGGAGATAAAATCCATTGCAAGCATTGTGGCACCCAAACGCACACAGATGCTCACGGCCGGCCCATTGCTACTGCCACCTTGCAGAAGAGCTGTAAAGGGGCGCCCATTGCTGCCTCCCCGCCTTTGTCAGAGTTCTTCAAAAGACAAACTGCAACAGCCCGACAAGCTGGCCAGCCTGATCTCACACAAGGAGAGCAGGCCACACCTACGTCTGTCACCACAAGCAAGACCCAGGCAGGCCATGACACCCAGCCACCTCTGGGCCTTCTGGTAGCAGCTCCCGCTCATACCAGCCTGTCACCATTGGCTCCAAGGCAACTTCACTACAGTGAAGTGACCACCAGACAGGAGGATGCAAATCCTGTCCACCAAAACAGCGTCAGTCTCGGCGCCACAGGCCATGAAACCCAGCCTGCAAGTCAACAACCTTGGCAAATGCCACATGCACCGCCGGCATTGCTGCCCAATGCTTCCAAAAGAAGCAGGTCACGAACTCCTGCTTCTTACAGAGAAGATTCGGAAAGTGAGACAGCTGTCGATCCTGTGCTCGAAGTCGACTTCTTCTAGCTGCAGCACCACCTCCAAGCAGCTGGCAGCCGAGCGGCCAAGGTCAAAGAACCTCTCTCGTTCTGCAGGAACAAAAGCCTTTAGGAAAAAACATACATACATACATACATACATACATACATACATACATACATAACATAACATAACATAACATAACATAACATAACATAACATAACATA